ACCTACCGGGTCATTTTATTTAATTTTTAAAGTATATATATATATAATATATGATAATAGTTGTATTATATTTAAGTAGAGATCTATAATATAGGGTGTAACTGAAAGGATGAATTATTAAATCTTATTCTAATTATTATTTAATTTTCTTTTTCTTATTCATATGGTTTAGATTGTTTAGAGCGCTCATGCTACAAGTACGGTAGGTATACAAATTTTTATTCTAATGTTTAATACTGAAAATTAAAAAATTAAATTTTAGTGGAATTTTTTTGGAAAAATTMAAAATAACTCATTTTTAAATCTAATTTTTTTTAAAGTTATAGACGCTTATTTAAGTCGATCAGTTTATTTTTTGTGTTACTTAATATATCAATATATTTTAGTGAATAAATTTTAATCTTATATAAATACATTTTTTCATTTGTCAAAACCTTCTGTCACGCCCATATACGTGTACACTGTACCTACTATATGATTTAGAATATTATGTTATGGTCAAATATCATGTTAGATTCGGCTGTGTACTCACATTAATTAATTCGTTTACAAAAAGAACTTAACAAACATCGATATACTATTAAATCATATAGGTACGTACAGCTTGCACACATCAGGAAATACCACTACTAACTCATGTATGTATGTTTAACTATTAAAGGCCATACCATTAATACTATAATGGTATTTGGTCAAACAGGGACTTAACTTCGTGTGGGTAGTACTACTGGATACACTCGAAATGTGTAAAACTGCCCCCCAAGTGCATACATCGGGACACCCCTCACGTCATTGCACACACACACACACACACAATGATATTTCATAATAGAATAATAATATGCATTGACCTCGTCGTTGTGTAGACACTTCAAAACCGCGAATATAATAATAATAATAATAATATGTATACGGGCATGTATCGCGCGTAAATGTACATATTTTTATTCTACGAGTCATCGGAACAACGGTTCGGTTTAGGTACAACGCACGTTGCGGATTTTATTAAATTACAAACTGTGTCGGACAATATGTATAAGTACATATGCGGCGCGTATACGTATGCGTACATAATATAATATAATATTATATATATTATAAGCTCACCCCGATAATATAATATTAAACACGCGGGCGCGCGCTCGCCACTCGAGAGGGTGTGTGTTTTGGCAAACGATTGTTGTGCGTATAATATAATAATAATGTGTAATTTTTTTTTCATCTCTCTCGTCGCGACTCTTACAATAATAAATACACGTGTGTACATAGTATGTATATATATATATATATTGCATATGTACAAAACCGCAGTCTATTACCGTTGCATCATCATTGTGCCCGCGTATAACTATTATCGTATACATATATATTATATATGTATATATGTACATATGCGAGTCTTGTATGGGCGGAATAGGGGGCGTGCGCATTGTGTCTTGCACCGCTATATACACACACGCGCGCGAGGCTGTAAATTTATGTTATGTTCGCGTACTTCGGCGAGGCGGCGAGTGCATTAAAAACGTATAATATTATATAAAAATACGATTCGGACATCAGCTGCGGGAGGGCGCCGGGACGAGTGGCTTTTTGACTTTTTTTTATTCAAGAAAAAAAAAACGTATAGGTATACATAATATTATATTATTGTATATAATAATAAATAGCATACCGAGAATTCGCGCGCGCGCGTCTGTCCGTGTATATACAAACCGCATGCATTATCGTTTTATATACATACATATATGTATATAATAATAATACGTATAAAGAACGTTACAAATACGCGTGACAATGGACCGTAGCGATCGGTTTAAATCCGAAAACATATAATAATGTAATATATATATATATATATGGGTATACAGGGACCGCTGCTGACTCGCGGACTCCATCGTCGTCTTGTCCTCGTCGTTTTTGTGTTTATTCGATTATTATTTTTTTGCCATACAAATTTTACACACTACACACACATGACATATACATACATATATAGGTATCTAACCGATATATACATATAAAATATTATTATAATAGGTATACCTCCTATAATGCGGACACGAGCAGATGGCGAGACGACGCGACGTTGTTCCGGCGTTTATATACTTAAAATATATATTGCCGGAGTATATATAAATTTATAATATGCATATATATTCATGCGCGACTTATTGTATATATTCTATTATGTTATATATTATTACAAACACATATTATGTAGGTATATATCGCGGGTACAATATAATATCGTGGTTGCGGACGCGCGTACACGTCTTTCGACATGTAATAATATAATATATGGGTATATATGCGATCAAAGTCAAAGACGCGGAATAATTACGAGCTAACCGCTTTAATGCGACGGCGGTGGCGGCGGTGGCGGTCTCTCTGGGGGAGTTCAGCGATGACATATCCGAATGAATTATTATAGACATCCTGAGATTTCTTTATCCCTCTCTTTCTCTCTCTCTCTTTATATATAATATATGGGTGTGTGTGTGTGTGTGTATGTATATTATAATGCATATTATCTTGTATATACGCTCTATATGAACGATATATCGTATATATTTATATATATAATATATTTATACATATACATTTTATGTGTTTGTGTGCTTATATACCGATAGTACCTATACCTACCTATATGGGCTTATTGTATATTATTATTATACAGTCGTGGGATTCATTTTATAGTCCACATGTTATATTTATATAGAAGACTACCTAACGAATTACACGTAGGTACACACGTTGTATAACAATCGATTAAATTGAAAAAAAAATATAGTAATGTACCGTAATTACAACACGTATAATAGATAATATATATTATTATATAGTCTGCAGATCACAACAGCGCGATGACGGTGATGACCTGCATCGTACGCTGTTCTGACAGTATCGCAAATTTCGTCAAACAATCGAATTTATRTATATATACACATATAAATTCAAACAAAAACATATAGCAAAACGTATAATACCCACGCAGTGCAAGCGTACAGTAGTATTCTGTCGGAGGCGTCAATAACGTTATTTAAATACGACTTATTCACCACMATCCTATATTATGCTTACTGAAAAGAATCTAAAAAATGTTTAGTCTCGGTGACTACTTCGATTAGATTTAAGACTTAATATGATATAAGAATCCAGGTCCGGATCAACTATGCCACTACCAACCCTTAATTTATGTTGTTGTTATATTGGAGAGTTAGCCAATACCCGCCTGTATGCTGATTTTAGTAAATAATGGTAGGTAAATCCCTACTACCCTATGGTGGTACCTAAAGTACCAGAGCCACTTAGTGAACATTTTTCTGTGATCGCTTTTTTTCTTCTCTCTATTAAAGGTAACTTTAATTGAAAGTTTCATAGACAGAAAATTCGTAGAAAAAAAAATCAAATAATATTATATTATTGTACGTTTTTAAGAAATTTTTTATTGTCTACAACGTACGATTATTAATGATAGGGCCGGTGGGTTCAATAAAGTCTTCTTTAATTGCAATCACTTGTTTTAACTATCAGATATGGAAGTAATTGGACTCATTTTCGATTTACTATAGTTTATCAAAATATTAAAAAATAACATCAGAATTTATCGAACTGCAGCCTATTTGATCAAATTTAGATAAATTAAAAACGTAAATAAAATAAATTAAAAAAAATCTACAGTTGATTAATTATTATTTGATATTTTGATTATTAACATAAAGTCATCTATTAAWTTTCATTTCTATATATCTGCATCAACAATTTAATAATGTATAAATGTATGATAATAGATTATTATTATTATTTTAAAAAGTCGGGAAGTGTATACACATTAAAGTATGTAGATTTTGGAAATATGCATATAAAAGTACATATATTTGAAATATGTATACTATATAGTAGAACATAAATAGGCCTTACAAGTCTATTATATTATATAGATACTCATATTCATATACAAATTATACGTGTGTCATGTGTATACATTATAAGTTATTTATTTTTACAATGAGGATAGAATAAATCGTTCACGTAATGGTAAAAATATACAGGTGTAAGTTTGTGCATACCTTGACGTATTGGACGAATTCGTACTTTTCACGAAAGTGTAAACTTTTGTTCTCGCATAAAGCATCTTCCGCTAAATGTCTTGACTTGTCTGAAGTTTTCTCCTGCAATCATAATTAAGTTATTGACGACTCGTRTAATATAACATATGCATATGGTATTTGTGTACTGTGTACAGAATGTTGGGAATACGTCATTATAATTATCTATGTATTATTATAATATAAAATATCAATGTCATTAATCGGGTAGACAAAAGTAAAACAGCAAATGAGCACGTATTGAACTCTCATGGACATTATATTATAATATTTTAATATTTATACACACCAACGCGTGTCCATGAAAACAGGGCACAACGAAAAATGGTTGGACATGYACAAAATACAAGGRTTGAAAAATCGCRAGACATAGGAATTTATTATCCAACAGTTTAGTCTTATGTCCCATCACAAACAGAATTCAAAAACGTATATAGTGGGTACTAAGTAATATTACTAATATTAGTAAAATGAATTATATGGAGTGTACCATGTTTTGGTGGTCACACTATTACGGTACACATGACCCACGTGATGCATACTATTATATTATAACCACGGTTATCTGTAATAATTGTAATAGATAACTATGACTACACATACGCTTTATTATAATAATCTCATAGTAAAATCTCGATGCGAGAATAGACAAYAAAGCGCTTGTATAGGTACATTTTAAGTCACGCGGCTGTACATTTTTTACGACTCTGMCAGCATGCAGTTTTTAGCGAGACCCTTAGCTCCTCATCTGAACGTAAACATTATAATTGTATATTTTATGTCATGTGTTTTGCCCAAACAAGGAAAACATCAATTGTGGACCATTCATATAGTACATAAGACTAACGAACGATTGACATCTTTAGATCTGTCGAGACCAAACACAAATTGACTATACACACATTATCACAAATCATTTTTCACACCTTTCACTGCGGTTAAATAGAATTATCAAAACTTTYCATCGCTATAYTTACGAATTTAGTAAAAATATTTTTTATATGCGTACCTACACATATTATATGCATTTTTCCATATTCTCATACGCTATGTTCGCTATATCCTCCGTGGATTATATACTATATAGTATCTACATAATACAACACATTATGAAAATGCTGACCGTTAACTTTTTGAAAGCGCCTATATATATAATAAAAGAAAAAAATGAATAGATATATAAATATAATAGTGTCTCGAGTCTAATCAGTTTTTTTAATGATTGGTATTTCAAATTTTTAAATTTTATGTAATATTATGATCAAAAATTTTCATTTTTTTTTTTTTTATCACACATAATTTATTACAATAATATAATATTAAGGTACTAATATTTATTAGAAACTCGTTCAAAGTTGTATAATAACATGCAATCTACTATTACTAACAGTTCGATATTAAACGAGTAGGTCGTATACTTGTATGCCTATATACGCGTTATGAAAACATATACATATGATAATAATGTAATAGACGCAATGAATTTATACATTTCAAAACATACCACAGATTCCCTGCCATATAACATAATCATCGGGATATTTACGACTATGCAAAAATATATTYACTAAACGTCTCATTTAATTAAGAGGTGTCAGGTATATATATAATATTTAGGTAGGTAAAAAATAAAAATAAATGTCTTCAATATTAAAATTAATGAGGTGAAAAATCATAAACTAGGTGCAAAACACTGCTTATATACATTAGGTAAAAGTAAAAATCGAAACATTTAAATTTTTTTAATGTGTTGGATATATTTTTTTATCGTTGTTAAAATGATGCCCATTAAATGTTTTACTGCTACCGGTACTACTACTGTTTTACTTTAGTTATTATACGGTTGCGCGTGTCTAACTAAGTGTGTGTGTGTGCAATAAATAAATATATATATATGTGTGTGTGTGTGTGTGTAATGTGTTTTTATTTTCTCGTATATTTTCAGATTTGCTGAGCTGTAGTACAGCCTCGAGGCCCTGAAAGTCGACATAATCGTTTTCGGCGTAGACGTGTATAATACAACATTAATACACTCATAAACATTGAAACACAACCTGGCGTGACGGTTAGCCACTATAGAAGTAGCATCCATATACGACAATATTAACGGATTTTCGCACATGATATGTCCCTATATATTCATATTATAAGAGATRCGCCGGTGCAGACGCGCGTTTTAATATAGTAATATGAGTTTTGAATGAGTAAGCACTAAGCGCATAAAATATGATAATATAGTGCATATTATAATTTACTTATATTATTGTTATAACGTTTGACCGGGTCGAATATACCGGAATACGGTATAGCTAGGTGAGTATAATTTCGTTCGGGATTAAATTCAATTACATAAATAACGTAATTGAACGATTCGCGATATTGCGGTCGAGCTGGGTAAATGGGTGGGTATGGTCGAGGGGAGGGTGGTGGAGAGTTGRAAACTCACTAAAATGCTTATTTCGCGTAAACAGGAAATTAAAAAAAAAAAAAAAAGTGAAATAATAATAATAATAAATAAAATCGTCGTCGGCAACATGTGATAGCACAAAAGCAGAGGATGTGGGCAATATTTCGTCGGGGACTTGCAGCAGTGGACAACCGGTACCATATATTCCGAACGCAGCATGACTTATTAGCGTACTTTGAATATTTTTAAATATACAATTTTTATTACACTTATTTTTCCCTCCTCCCGAACACACCGGGCCGGGCCGAGCGCGTTACGGACGCAGTTTAAAAGCCGCAAAGAAACGGCGGCCGCGGGCGAGAAGTTGACATCGATAAATAAAATTTACACCGGTTCGCCCAGTAAATAATATTAATAACGTCGCGGACGCCCGGGTGAATTGGACCGGCCACATTATACATATTACACGTATATACAGGGTGTTTAAACAAGATTAGTTCGCACGTCGTTCACTGCACCGAAATGGAATATAAAAATACTACTCTCCTGCGATCACTCTAACCGGCGAATGATGTCCAAAAAAATGCTTGTGCATAAAACACAGTTTTAATTGGGTATAATTCGCAGTCTTACAATGTTTTTTAAAACCATACTATCATATAAGAACTGTATAAAATATAAAATACACATATTCAATTTTAGACCAGATTGTATTTTATATAAATATCGAATAAAATTATATGAAACTGATCCATACGCAACCTATTTGCAGCTCCACAAAAAATGCAATACCTTTAATGATGTTAACATAAATGCTTTCGAACAATTATATATAATAACATTTTAAAAAAGTGGGAAAGAATACACAAATATTCGATGTACAAAAACTTGAAGTCCACTGCATAAAATACGAACGGAATCGAATCACAACTATTAATTACACACGAATTAATAATAGTAATACCAATGTTGTAGGTACCTAAGYATATTTTACATTTTTATATGGTGGTGCGTTATAACTTACATTGTACTTCTTTGTTGTAATCATGCAATAACTGTAACCGTTTAGGTGTCTATACTATTTTCATAAAAAAAAACTAAGATTTTACCCTGGACCGAGTTCTTACGACTGGTGTATACTCGCCAAATTCACCAATAATAATCAAATGGGTCAATATTAACGTACAGTATACGCGTAAAAGTATATATTCATAACTATAYATTTTACATTCCTTTGACTTTTGATACATTCACCGACAATTCTCGGAAAACGCAAAAGTGAAAAATTTTAGTACAAGTGGACCGTTTCTATGACATAGAGAGTTATCATTATTACWTAGATTATTGATACATGGGTATATAATATTATTTAGCTAACGTTGGGGTCTTGGTCTGGTTTTTACTAATACAGACCATATATTATACTATATAAATATAGGTACGTTTATATCTATCGAAATCGTTGAGACTTGAAAAATCGTTAAAATTCCCTTTCGACGATAAAAACATAATAATAGGTAAACGTAATTATCTATACCTATAGTTCCACGTCCAATAGAATAAACCTATTACCTGCAATGTTAAACGTATTCTTACAGATTATGAAATGGGCGATGCAATCATATTATATTTTCGTCGATTTCGCTTCAAAGATTTAAAACTTGGGAAGTCGACGCGTGAACATCCTGTATACACATCATATTGGTACACGGTTCGGAGCAGTMKTATATATAGCGGCGTATACACAAACACATCCACACACTTACAAACACATTAAAGACGTGTAGAACAGGAGTCACGCGGTTATAATATGTATAATAATATGCGCACCGGCCACTGCAGGTATTTATAAATATGTGTGTAAGTGTGTAATACGTACGCATATATATCATACACGCACACACATCGCGCGCAGTGTCACACAAACACATATTATTATACATGTACAACATGTACAACATGTACGCACATCTCAAAGCTATATAATATAACGCCTACACACACACACACTCACTCGTGCATAATATAATATACATTTAAACATTTTGTACGTATATATATTATTATTGTGTATGATAATAATAATAATAATAATATGAGCGTTGTTGGCCCGTCTGTAAAACACGGTAATAATAATTTTTTTTTTCATTTTTTTTTTTGTCCTCAGCTCTCCGAATATGTATGTTATATAGACGTGACGGCGTCCGCAGCAGCCGCAAAGTATCGCTGCTGCTGTTGCTGCCGTCGCCGTCGTCGTATAGTCGTCGTTSATCGCGGGGCCCATTCATTATATTGTACACACATACATATTACACGTTATGTGTATATACCGAATTCACGACGAGGACACCACCGCCGATGGCACTCGTGATATTATAACCACCGCTGACAACGCGAGAGGATTAAACATCTGCCCTTCGACAACACACACACGCACACGCACACACACACACACACACACATACACGCGTGCGCTCGACTATATTGCACACACTCCATGGTTCGCTGAACAACCGTGTCACCCTGTAAACACAAATACGTAGGTTAGGTGCGAGTGTGTATGTGTACTGTGTGTTTTATTGTACGTATATCCCGTGGCTTATCAACCGGAATAATAATGATGCGCGCACAGAGTGCTTATAAAAATAAAATATAT